TGTGATGACAACAGTAACGACATGATGGTCGATGGTGGGTTGGGGTGGGTGGCAACAACGGTAGTGGTGTGGTGGGAGGCTAGGGGTGGGGCGTGAGAAAAAGTAGTAGCATGGCCGTGGTGGGGGCAACGGATGGACGTTGATGGAATTCAATTCCTTCCACTATGCAAGGAAATGACAAATTCATCAACTTGTGGAATTCAATAAATGTGAAGGATTCCGTCCATTTCAAATCGTGAACCAAACAAATGAATTGGAATTTGGTCAAAGAAATTTGTCATTCCAATTTCATCAAATTCCTTCGAATTCCATGAACCAAACGGGTCTTGTTGATATTTACAAGCCTGTTTGGAGTCTTTGAATCTAATTATAGCTTGCTTCTGAGTTTTAATATGCTGTTGTTTCTTTGCTTGCTTCTGGGTTTTGAGTTTAATTTGGAAAGTTTTAGTTTTAGGCCAAGTGTTCAGTCACTACATCATTTGTTGGTTCTATAGAAATTAATTTCGATGAATCCCATTAGTCACTACATCATCTTTGGCGAGGTTTGAACCCCTGACCTTCTAGGAAGTCAGGAACTACGATACCGCTAAGTGAAAGGTACTTTGGTAAGTCCCACATTTTATAGACAACTTGAATGTTTTTTAAAACACACCATCAATATGTACCCAAAAAACCAACATATAACAAAAGTTATATTCAAGCATCGATGGTTAACCTACAATGTTACACAATGTATTCTTTTTCTACTCATCGAGCCCATACGTTTCACCAAAATAACTGTCGACCAACAGATTCGCCATCATTCTAAGCTCGTCGTTTTCGTGAAACTGGAACCGTTCCATCGCTTCGATTCCGTCTGCACCTTCAACCAGCTTCTGACCCTCACCATTCGGCATTCCTCTTAAAACCTGCACACGGTTATATGTCATTTGCCAACTATACAACTATATTCATCAGATTAACGATTTTGTAAAACTTTTAGTAATTCACGTAATAATCTTTAGTATTGTGTCCTCGAATTTGGAAAGAAAAGAAAACACACCGAAAAGAATAGAAAACACACCGAAAAGAATAGAAAGAGTTAAGAATTGTGGTTTGAACGAAATTACAATTTTCGTCCTTGTGTTTTAGAAACTGTGATTTTCATCCCTATGGTTCGTAATTCATTGTTCTTTTCGTCCTTATAATTTATAATCTATTTATGTTTTGGTCTCTGTGGTTTACAATTCTTTGCCTTTTTTGTCCCTTGTACTTTAAGGTAAGAGTTAGGCTCAGAGACAAAAATAGCAATGAATTGCAAACCATAAAGATGATAATTGTAGTTTCTAAACTACAAGTACTAAAATCGTGATTTTTAACAAATCACAGGGACGAAAAACGTAATTTACTCTGAAGTTTTTTATTTTGTTTTTGAAACAGAAAGTAAGATAATAGAAATGGAACCATTTTTCATGTTTTTGGACCCGAGAAAAAAGGAAAGGAAGGGGACGTTTACCAAATACTTACCCGGTAAGTGCTTACCGGTAAAATTTAACACTATTATTTACTTGGCGGGTAAGATTTTAGTCCACCAAAACAACATCGTATGCAACAATTTACCCGGTAAACGTTTACCGTGGTAAGAGTCGTCACCCTCACTTATCGGGTAAGACTCTTGATCATTATCTCGCTCTTACCAGGTAAGATTATTGGTCTTTACCATATTCATCCGATGAGGTAATGTTACTTGGTAAGCGCTTACCCGGGTAAGCGTTTGGTAAACGGCCCCAAAATATGTTTACAGATAAATCCTTCATATTTGCTTTTCTTATTTCGTTGCATGAGGGTATTTTTGTCATAAAAGATCACAGACTCATTTCAGCTTTCCTTTCCTTTCCTCCCGTATTAAAGTGTTGGAGGAAACGTAAATGCTATTTTCCCTGCTATTCGTTTCCTTTCCTTGAAAAAAGAGGTTTCGAGAACAACTTGTTTTGAAAGTTACCAGCTCGATGAAATGAAGTCCGAGTCGAGCAGCTTCGAGATCGGCTGATCTAACCAAATCAATGAAACCACCAAGACATCCAGCTTTGACAAACGAAACCAAGTGGTCCAATAATAAGCTTGGCCTCCCAGAGGCATCAGCTGGAGCAACACAGAGATTGCCCAGAACATACGCCACCTCCTTTTTTATGTCGAATGGTGCTGAATCAAGAAGCTGCAATAATAACAACACGGCTTCGCTTTTGCATATCACTTGCTTGTGACCAACGGAGCCTGCAGCTATGTTCGATAGCACCCAAGCTGCTTCCTACAGAAACCAAGTTTCATTAAGCACGTATGATGGATGAGTTAAGCCGCTAGCCCATTCACCAATGTATACCTTCTTCAAGAAACGATGCTCGCTCTTCAGGCATTTACTTAATGATCGTATAATACTGTCTGCAAATCGCACAAAACGAACCGGGGTCAATTCTTTTATCTTTTCTCATTGAAATTTTCTAACTTTTTGCTCTAAGCAGCTGAATATAAATCACTTGTCCTCAAACTCCATGTCCCCATCCTGTCCCACCAATCAACTTCTGACATATCATTACTTTATTTAATTAATCTTTTTATTCTCTCTCTTCAATAAAGTGACGATGTGTCAGAAGTTACTTAGGTGGGCAGGGAGAAACATGAGGTTAGGGGACAGTTGGTTTGTATTCTAAGCAGGTGGCTAGCATTTTTGTCAAGGGTCGCCAATAACCTCCCGGCCACAAAAAGATTAACCATACTGGTCGCACCAGGGTTCGGTGTGCATAAATATGAATACAAAAATAAAAAATTGTAAACAAATCGACAAGAAGTTATTTTAGAACGCAGAAAGTAGAACTAACCTGTGATTTCATGTCCTGGAACAAGAACAACGTTCGTCGTGTAAGCATCACTGGCCATGAGATTGCCTAAACTCCGTAGCAACTGCATACGATATAATGTCATGGGAAAAAGAACAGCATTAGTATTTCAAGAATTACTCGAATTTGTCAGCATAACCATATAAAAACATCCACCAGAATCGATTATAGCGTCATCTTTATGAAATTGAATTACTTTTCATATAAATTCACCACATGGAGATTATGGTATTCAATGAAAATGCAGTATTATTATGTGTTCTATTTTTTATTTCTGCAACTTATTATGTATTTGTGATTGTTGATCCTAATAGATAGAACTGATGAACACAAAACCCAAAAGTATATTCGCGAAAAAATAGAATTCGTGGATTGCTTGTTACCGGAATGAGTGATTGCAAACTATTTGAGGCCGCCAATCTGTCCACAAGAACTTGTACAAGATCGGTCTTCATTAGCACACTTGTAGCAACATCTGAAAGAGCCGATAGATAGACAACCACCCATGCTACTTCAGTTGCTAAATCTACATCCCTGTTCATCAAAGATTATACATATATCATTATTTGTTGTCTGATTTCGACATGTGTGTGTGTGTGTATATATATATATATAGGGTCACGTTCAGGGGAAAACCGCAAAAAATGAAAAACTGAGGAACACCCTACAGTATGCACATGTAATTTTAAGCAATTTGTCCGGCACGTGCATAAAACCCAAGAAACAACTTCAATTACCGGTATGCATATGTGCATACCGTCCAAATGAATGGTTACCAGGGTGTTCCTCAATTTTTCATTTTTTTGAGGTTTTCCTGTGAACCTCTCTCTCTCTCTCTATATATATATATAAAGGCAAAAGGCAATATTGTTATTAATTTATTCAATTTTAACGTAGGGTTAGGATTTAACTTTCTACAAGATGGAAGGGATGTTGCGATTAATTACATACCATGGTTCACACAATTCAATTCTAATCGATGATTAAGATATAATTACACCATACTAGAGACAATGATGTGAAAAAACTTACGCTTTCTTCAAGTGTCGAAGTATGGCATCCACCACCCCATCAACTTTTATGAGTTCCGTTGCAGCCTCTGGGTCTGGTCCCTACATTCACAAAAACCAAATTTTAGAATTTTGAAGGTAAATATCGTTTTGCAAAATTGTTTTCTTTAATAGAAAAGTTCCTCCTTTATTTACAGACTCTCTCTTTCAATATTCCCCTCCCTTTGAAAGCATTCCACATGCCTGATATATGTATGTGTGTGACTGAAAACTGCAAAAGATTGTCCCATTCTTTTTGACCATTCGGTATCTTCACCATGGATCCAATTCATATCATACATCGTTAAATGAATATGTGATTATGGGCCCTGTTTACTTGATTTAAGGAAAACGATATAATCAAAAGGAGCCTGATTTTTTTATGCAAACAAGAGTGCATAAAGGAAAAAGATTACATCTAATTCAGACAAAAATGAGCGATTAAAACCTTGATTAGATTTGATAATGTCCAAGCGGCTGTTCTGACTGTGGAACCCTTATCCGGCAACATCATTCTTGCAAGAGGAGGTAACGCTCCTTGTGAAAGGAGAAGATCTCTCAAATCCTCTCCTTCACCGGCAACATTTCCTAATGCCCATGCACACTGCTCAGCAACACATGATGAACCCTTCTCTACAAATTGATTAATTGCATACAAAATGTCAGTAGAGGTCAGGTCTGTGTACATCTCACCCTCTCCGGGCCCCACCTTCCATGTGGATATACTGTGCTTGTTTGGTTTGTAAAATGTCACCATATGGACCAACAATCACATAGAAGAACTATAAACAAATAATCAGTACAAAACCAAGTGTTTAAAGTGCTTAATATGTCCTACATTAAAGTGTCCTTTCCTTTTTGAGATGTCCCACAGCAAGTTTCGTCTTTCTTAATATAAAAAGATTCTCTCTCACTTTCCGAAATTACCCGTGATGATGAACAAATAAAGATACTTAAGAAGGTCCCCGCGTACTTACGGAAGCATGTTAGATACACAGTTCATATCTTAAAGGAAAAAGGTAAAGGTATTCTTGCAATTTCACCACAAGTTTTGATGTATATTGATATCCGTGACATTTTACAAAGCGAAAAAGTCAAGTGGAGCGTATGGTACCCAGAAGAAATGCGCCTTTTTATTTGAGAACGACGCAGAATCTCCAAATCAGTAACACTTTACACTTAAAACTTAGATAACCTGTAGATGTTCTAAAAATTTCAAAAAGAACCAGTAACGCAAAAGGATTTGTCTCAAACTTTAACTACCAAGTTACTGACCTCCAAGATGAGCAATAAGTAATGGTAATGTCGGTAACAAAGCTTTAGTTTCTTCTGGTTTTCCCGCAGCTATATTTGTAAGACACCACGCTGCTTCAAGCAACTGCATTGTGGACATTAATTGTAATAAAGCAGCCTTTTTTGGCAACTTATTTAAAATAAAATAAAAACCAACGTTTATATGAAAGAGAAAAACAAGAATTACCTGTTCATCTTCAGACCCAAATGAAAGACATTGAGCAAGTAGAGGTATTGCTCCAGATTTAAGAGCAATTTCAACAGGAGGATACTCGGATCTTGATAATAGCCTCCTTAGTTCACGAAGAGCATTCACCTTCTTTTGAACCGCACCTTTTCCCCTAAAAGAAATTAAACAAGATGAGAATTTAGGTCAATTTGTGAACAGATGATAAATCATCACACAGGTGATAAAACATCCAACTAAAAATGGCAAGAGCTTTAACTTCAATTTACCTAAACATACATAATCCATATACACGAATGATATTAGATTATATAGCTAACAGTTTGAATGGAGGACACATGTTTGCCCAATTTATAACTTATAAACTATGCAAAAAGTGAAGTAAATCACATTGTAACAAAGAAACATGATGAATTAGACTTACTTGAAAGAAACTGCAAGCTTCAATTCTTCAACAGCAGAAGATGTTTGAGCCTCTAAAATGGATGGTTCCTCTTCGATCATCATGTCACCATCGGTCACAACATCCATATCGCTACTAACTCCATCTCTACACAATCGTTTGGTTCGGAACATTGCTTCTCTTCTTTCTTTCACCACTGATACAGCATGCTGCCTTCTCCTTTGTACAGCAGCATTCCCAACTGCAATCCCAAATACATATACATATACATATATATAAATATTTAGCATAAGCATACTGATCAAGATTTTGTAGAATTTGCATAAATAGATTGTAAAGAGATGGCCAAATTTCTATATCTACACAGTTACACCTCAAGTAGCATCCTGGAAGTGTTCTATCTAATTGAAATTTCTATATATACACTTCTCCAGAACCCAAATTAAACCTTCAGACTTGAAATAAACAAAAAGAATCTAGGATGCACAAAAGGGGTCAGATTCACACCAACAACATAAAATGGGTTCATAGCAATTATAGAAAAAACCCATGAAATTACACAGAAATGATCCAAGAAAAAATAAACCAAAATCAAATCCCATTGGGACAAAACATCTATCTGAGCCATGAACTGCATAAATAAAATACAAGAAAAGAAAAGCATGCCTGTGTTCTTGATGGGGTCTCTCCTATGAGACGCTGCGCTTTCACCTGCCATTGTTCCGATTACAGAGATGGAGTTTTCTAAAAGGAAGATCGATATAGTTTTGACTCTCTACAGTGAGTTGGTCATACAAAGACGAAAGGAATGTGCATTTTGTCTGCATAAATACCCCCAACTCATATACGTGCTTGGATGCCCTGGTTTCATTGTCCCAAATGGAAATTAGGGTTAAATTCTAAAATGGTTTTCGCCATCTTTTAATTGGTTGATCTTGATTCAAACTGGAAATTTGGGAAGGGATTGTGGTAGATGATCATGAACATGTATACCCTTTGAAATTGTTTGATGGGTCAAGAAAAAGATTTGATTTACATGATAAAGATTTTGAACAACAACTACAAAGATTTGATTTAAGTTAAATGAAATAAGAAAAATGTTTTATTTAAGATTTTATTCAAAGTAGGTAAGGCTGTAAACGAACCGAACGAACATGAACGAAGGCTTGTTCATGTTCGTTCGTTTAACTTAACCGAACAAACGAACGGTAAACGAACGAAAATATTTGTGTTCGTGTTCGTTCGTTTAGAAATCAGTTGTGTTCGTGTTCGTTTATGTTCGTTCGTTAACATGTTAAATGAACGAACATAAACGAACGAGCTAAACGAACATAAACGAACGGGTTAAACGAACATAAATAAATATTATTTGAATTCAAAGTAAATAAATAAAAGATTATATATTAAATTTAATATATAAACGAACGAATATAAACGAACGTAAACGAACGGTAAATGAACGAACGTTCACGAACATAAATGAACGAACGAGGCTCTTGTTCATGTTCGTTCGTTTAACTAAACGAACAAAAAAAATTGTTCATGTGCGTTCATTTATTAAATAAACGAACATAAACGAACTTCCCGCCGAACAGTTCACGAACGATTCGCTGAATGTTCGGTTCGTTTACAGCCCTAAAAGTAGGTACGTTTTATTTTTTGATTGATTCATTAACGAGGTTTGAAAGTTGGGACTTAGAGAAGTCCGTAGTTGAGATAGAAGTGTGGATCTTCACTAATAACATCAAAATCTTTAAGTATCAATTTTTTTTTATTAACCTAAATATCCAATTCGTTATATGATCGACAAGTTTTTTATTATTTCTTAAATTTGAACTTGAGACCTTCAAGTATTTTTTATCTTTAGAGACAAGCTTAAACCAATCAGATAAAATACTTTTGACCCTTGTGGTTAAGTATCAAAATTTTGGTTTCATATATCCTAAATGAATCATTTAAATCAAGACCTTTAAATATTATATAAATAGAGTTAGTATTACAATGAAGGTTTTTATAAGAATCTTGAACAGTTACAGGTTTTTATTAAAATTGAATGCTTGAACAAGGATTTGAGTTTTTGTATAGATTCATTTTTTATATTGTTTTATTATATTTTACCCCTTTTTTTTTAATAAATCTATTTAAAATATAAGTTATATTGATTAAAGAAAATATAAATTAATTATTATAATTTTTTTTAGTTTTGTTCTATTTTTAGGTTTTTGTAAATTTTTATACGAGTTTTCTATTAATAAGTTTAATTTTTAATTATCTCATTATATTATTATATCATTTTGTTGAAGAGATAGATACTCCAACATAAATATTTTAAGGTTCTACTCGTAAATTCTAAGAAAATCTTCAACGAATTTATGAGATGTGTTAAAATGAAGCTCTTTATCAACTCTCCTTTGATTAACCACAAAGATGGTGTCTGATTGGTTTGAGTTTGACTCCAAATGTCAAAAGTACCAGAAAGTCTCATATTCAAATCCAAAAAGGAATAAAAATTCTCTTGTGGTCACGAAGGTTCAAATGCGGTGACTCCAGGCTATCTGCAAAGCAGGTGGTTGCCCTGGAATTAGTCGGCTCGTATAACGGGTTGAATATCCAGGTTAATAAAAAAAAAAACGCTCCTTTGACTTGGTTTAACATATTTGGTTGAATCGAGATTACAAGTGGTCCATAGTATTATTTATTATTTAGTGTTAATTTTTATAAAGATTAATATTCGTGTAACTTTGTAATTTTTTAATTGCAGTATAAAATTATGTTCATGTTTTAATTGTTTTTCAAATATGTTAACAAAATATATAAATTAACAAATTTAAATTAATATAGAAAAGTGAAAATTAATAAATTAAATTTGATTTTTTAATATATATTAAATTTATATATTGATTTATAAATAAAATTACATTTTACAAATAAAAAATGAAAACCAAGTTTTTGTAATAACATCCATTGTGAAGTTTTATTGATGCCCTTGTTTTGTTGATATGGTAATTACGTGGCAGAAAAAACTATGGCAGATGAGGTGTAAGGGTTTCACCACTATCGTTGATTAGGGGTGCTAAAAAATCTGACAAATCCAACTCAACTTAATGTGAACTAACTCAACCTGATGTTTAATCGAGTTGTAAAAATTTTAAATCGTAAGTATTGGGTTGATATTAGGTTATTATTGTTTGAACTCAACTCAACCTGATGAACACGATATCTTTTTTATTTATTGAATTTAATATGATTGTTGAATTCTTATTAATATATAAATTAGACAATTACAATATCGCGTACGCTATTCATATAAGCATATTTTCAATCTATTCACATTTCTATATAACTTATTTGTATATATGTTCAATAACTGTGAATATATATATATATATATATATATTGAGAAAATTAACTGAATATGATATATACAGGAAGTATGAATAAGTTGTATCAAATGGTTGATGGTGAAAAAACAATTATGAGTAGAGAAATAACATGTTCAATATTAGAAGAATATTTTAATGTACCGAAGTATCAATCCGACCAACTCGTACAATTTGGGTTGGGTTGGATTGCACATTGGTTTGAGTCTGGTTGGGTTAAGATTTTTCAAACCATAAGGTTGGGTTGTTCAAATGTCTTCAACTCGATCAATCCAACCAATTAGCACCCTTATCGCTGATCTTAGGTTGAAGAAGGTATCATAAGAATCATTACCGTTGTTATTGATTCTGAACGTTGATGCTTTTTTTAAACCCTTCAATTTTCAATTGGAATAATAAGACAATCAAACATTTGACAAGAAATTAACAAGTAGTAACTGATCAAGGCCGTGTGACCATAGCCTCTAGTCCGTGTGATCAAGGCCTTTGGACTTCTTATAGAACCGTAGCTTTTGATTCCAAGACAGTTGTAACTGTTCTCAAATATTATATATTAACATTTATATTGTTGGGCATTATGTCTTATCTTTTTTAACCATTTGTAACCATCGATCTTTCTTATAAATACGTGAATGGAAATTTGGGTATATATAAGTATTCGATCTTATACCTTTAAGATTAAATTTCTTAATTATATTATCTCAATACGAAATTCTATTGTGGTATTTTTTTAATAGAAAATAATAAATTAAGGAAAAGTCAAAGTTGATTCTTCAAATGGTCCTCATGGGCAAGAAACACAGAGTTCAGATCTGATCTCAAGAATAATTGACCACATTCGGCGCATTCTTCGAAAACCCCCAATTCGATCATTTCGTTGCAGCTCCAGTTAGATCCATGTCCAATCAACTGAGAGCTGTAACCCTAACCCATGTCCGTTACTTCAAAGGAGATCAATTAGGCCATTTCTTGGCATGGATTTCATTAGTTCCAGTCTTCATTAGCCTCGGTGGTTTCGTGTCTCACTTCCTCTTTCGTCGTGAGCTCCAGGGTATGTTCTTCGCTCTAGGGTTAACCATTTCCCAATTCGTCAACGAAGTGATCAAAACATCCGTCCAACAAGCTCGGCCGGAAACATGCGTCATGCTTGAAATGTGCGATTCGCACGGCTGGCCTTCCAGTCATTCGCAGTATATGTTCTTTTTTGCAACCTATTTTACTCTGTTGACTCACAAGAAATATGGACTTTTGTTTAGAAAGCAAATGTTGCTTGTGGGTCTTGTTGTTTGGCCATTGGCTTTGCTTACAATGTATTCTAGGGTTTATTTGGGGTACCATACGGTTGCCCAGGTGTTTGCCGGTGCTGGACTTGGGATATTTCTTGGTGGGTTGTGGTTTTGGGTGGTTAATTCATTGCTCAGAGGGGTTTTTCCGGTGATCGAAGAGAGTTTCTTTGGTAGGTGGTTCTATGTTAAGGACACTTCACATATACCAAATGTGTTGAAATTTGAATACGAGAATGCCAGAGCTGCACGAAGGCATTCGTCTTATAAGCGCTCAGAATGATGGAAGAATAGAATTGGGTATGTGATTTATGTTTGAACTATGAACATTTGTTGCTTTGTTGATGCTATGTGAAACAATTAGACTCAAACCCACAACCATTTAGGTTTAGAGACTCGTGTTTTTTATTAACCTGAATATCCGACATAGCTTAATCCATATAGACATCTTAATCTATGCTGGACTTGATGTAAAAACAAATAAACAGTTCCTTACACTTGGAGTAGGAGGGGAGCAGATGATTGTGTTGGGACTGTTACAAGGAAAATGATCCCACATAGGAAGGAAAGGGAAAGGTGTGTAAGCTTATAAGCCTTATCTTATAAGGCTTAGCAAATTGGGAAACAGTGGCTCGCGTGACTAGAGCCGCAACCTAAGTTGTGGGCAGCCCCTGCACAGGTCAAAAATCGGCTTAACTGCCAATTGACCTTCAAAACTATATAAGCTCATTATTCCCTCTTCTTTCCATTTCAAGTGCTCGTGCAAGAACTTGAATAGATAGTTGTATCCACTAAACGGACGTTCTAAACTACTGCATGAGTGTGGGCGAAATTTTGTTTAAGGACACCGCTGCGCAGGCCTCTATCTAATCTTCAAGCATCGTTGATCTGAAGTTAGTATCTCTACTTGATTTGATAAGGATCTCAATATATATTACACATATACACATACATGTTTTTTTTCTGTTTGGCTGCACTTGATTACACGATTTTGCACACACAAATACACATATTATTGGAATTTCTGGTCTGGTAACCTTGGTTCTAACAAATTGTAGCTTGTATGGGATCTACGAAAGCATTTACTGTATTTGGCCTTCTAACTATGAAGACAAGACGATATACTGGCTTAGGTTTAGTTGGTTCAAATCCTTGGTTGTAAGTGGATAGAAGATATTTGATTTATTGATGCTATTATGTATCTTTCTACGAAGTTTATTCTCAATCCATATTTGGTATATGAAAGTGTGGAAGGGTACATATTAGTTAGATGAACGAAAACATGTTTATATTTATCACAAAACAAACTGTAACTGATCAAATAGTTTAGAATATGGTGATATCACAAAACTATAGCACCCCCAATCAAATTCTTAGGCCTTTTGCATATTTGTTGGCACAAATGTTTTCACTTGTTATTTTCTGCAAATTCTTTGTGTTATAATCAAATCTCTATAACGGAGATCCACATTCACATACCGAAAATGTTAAGATAGAGTTCGTTTTCTTGCACAAACGCAAACATAATGTGGAATTCATCATCAAAAAACGATGCTAAACTAGAATATGCGTCTTCTTTATTGGCAGGTGAAATTGCTTGTAGAATGAGACTGCACCTGTGATCTGCAAAGCAAGGTGGTGATTCCTGCAGTTTGCTGTTTGCAGAATGAAAAGCGCATATGTTCCATCTTTACTATTACTCATAAAAACTTATGTGGTATAGTTGCCACTAATCACTTGCTGATGTTATGGTTTAGTAGGAACTTATATTTTCTTCTACATAGGTAAGTGCATACTGCATAGTATAAAATGACAATTATATCCCATGTATTTTGCTACAGTTTTGTGTGTTTCTTGGCATCCCATTGGAGATGCCTTTTGAATTGTATGGTCAAATGAACTAGAGATGGGCAAACAAAACCCTGGTTATGACTGGTACCGGTCAAAAAGAGCCACCATGTAACTGGTTACGGCATAACCGGTCCCTAGCCCTTAATGTGTAATTGGTATGGACCAGTATGGCCAGTCCTCAAGGTCAAATCCATTTTATATGGTTCGTTGACCAATGGGTGAGTGTCATGTGACACTTTTGTAGGCCTTAGCCATTACCGGTCATTTTTTTTTTTGTGGCATTGACCGGTTATAACTGCCTCTGAACTAATTCCTCTTCAACAGATCAAAATAGAACGGGTTTGGTTTGCATTTAGGTCTTGACTAGTTACCGACATGTTGTACCTCCAAAATGAACTCCTTTTAGGATTCACAGGTGATTTTTATTATCCAAGTACAAGCAAACCATGCTATGATGTTAAGTAGCAAGTACTTTGTAGTTGTGTAACAGAATAAAAATGAAATTATACTATTTGACTTGACATACAATACAAATTACAAAATGTCTGGTTAAGGCTCAAAAGTCGAAACTGGGTGAGTCAATGCTCAGTTAAATGAACATAAACATACACATACTAAGGACTGGTGATCATTGATCATGGAGTTAATTTTTCAGGGAAATATTTGGTTAACAAGTGATCAGTTATGAAAAGTGAGCATTAGGGGCCGTAAGGATTTTACCTTTTCTTTTGCTGAAAACCAATCCTTATGCATGTACGTAAGCCTTTCTACGTAAAAATTGACTATAAAATAAAATGAGGTCGAAAATGGCTAAAAATAGAAATTTTTATTGTAAATTTGCTGCAAATAAATGCCATTGTATCCAAGTCCAAGCCCAACGATCCATTACCACTTACCAATTAGCATCTCCAAAACCCAAGTTAAAAATCAATTTTTTTTACAAGTTAAAAGATGGTGAAATTGAAAACTCCCTCCAAAAGGCCACCAATTTTCAAAGCAGGTACAGAGGAAGCACGTGAGTTTCAGCTTTCTTTTTTTCATTGCCCCTTCGCCAACCCTCTCCTGCTAACTTCCATGTGTTGATGATGGGTACAGTTTCCTAAATTGTTTTTGAATGCCTTCAAATCTACAATCTCTATTCACCTACCGCCTTTGAATTTACTACTTCAATTTTCCTTCTATATTTCTAAATCCCTAGTTCTTGATTAGGATCACACAATGTGGCAAGTTTTGCTGGCTGCAGCATTAGCAGGATCTGGGTATTTTGCTAAAAACCTACTCCACAAAAATGATAAGGAACCCACGAATTGTTTTGATTTACCCACAGAAATACCACCATCTTCTGTCGAGAATGCTGACGCAGAAGCTTCAAATTTTAATGAAGAAACGTCATCGATCTTTAGGTTTTCTAGTGCTTCTCAAGGGTCAAAGAGTTATCGGAAGAAATTGGGCCATGGTGGTGGAATTAAAGGTAAGAGAGGAAATCATGAAAAAACATTTGGGTCGGTGAAGAAAATGGCTGATGGATTTGTTGATGATCAGAGGAAAAGTGGGAGGAAATTTGCTGTTTGTTTGAAGAAGAGGCGTACCGGCAGAAATGCTTCTGCTAAATGTGATTCTTTTGATGTTAAGGGTAATCTCCTTTATGCTTATGATTTGATGTTATTTTGATTTTAATTTACATACTCATAAAGCGACAAGTGCAGTGGAATTAATGAACAATGGGCAATGAAGTGTAACTATATTCTTGTTTAGAGTACCAAATCCACTAGATTTGAACCATTTCTCTTACATATAAACCCCTTTCTCTTTTGAATGGCTCTTTTGGTGGGAGTTACTCGATGGGGTTCCACTTATTCTCACATATAGTCAACGCCCATCACTTTAGGGACTTGACACTCTAGGCAATTTGTAGTCGTCTAGCCTCCTTAGGAATCTTGATACACTGGGAAATTTGTGCCCATCTAGCCTCCATTGGAAAAGGAGGGGGGGNNNNGGGGGGGGGGGGGGGGGGCTGTAAGAGTCCCATGTGGGCTAGTTTTGCACCAATTCTTCTTAATATATGTTGAAATCTCCATTCTCTTCTTAAGGGGTCTTTTGAAGAGTAATCTGATGGTGTTTCACATATTTTTTCATCGTATCAGAACCAAGGTCTACCTTCCTAGGGATTTGCCACTCTTGGATAGTGGTGCTTGTCTAGCCTCCGTTGGAAGGGAGTGTTAAGAGTTCCACATCGGCTAAACTTGGACATTTATCCTAAATATATGTTGGAATCCCGATTCTCTCTTAGGGGCTCTTTTGGAGAGTAATCTAATGGGTTGCACATTCTTACACATGCTATCAGAGCTAAGATCTGCCACTTTAGGGACTTCATACTCCGAGCAACCTGTATTTGTCTAGCCCCCTCACTCATCTAGCTTCCGTTGGAGGGGGTGTGTTATAGTCCTACATCGACTATACTTGAACTATTTCTCCTGTATGTATGTTGGAACCCTTTTTCTCTCTCCAAGGGCTCTCTTGGGGAGGAATCTAATGGGGTTCCACATATTTTCACAAATCTGAAGCAGGATCAGGTACAAGACCAAGCTGTCTAATGATCAACTAAGCATGGCTGCTAACCACTGAATAGCTTTTTATGTCCTGCAATCCCCATTGTTGAGAATATGGTAACCCTTTACTTAGGAGCTTACTTATGAAGACATCCATACGTCTTTTTGAGTACTCAAATTGATGGAAAAACCTTCTTTTCTTGATTATCTCTTCAGAAGTCGGTTTGCCATTTGCATTCTATACCAGATAGAGAAAATTTCTCATGTGTTTGATCTGTCTTAACTTGTTCAGACAAATCATCTTTTGGTTGGGGAGTTGGAGTTGGAATAATGTACATGATGTCAGCTGGGAAAGCCGAAATCGAAAGGCTAAATACAGCAGTAGACGAGACTGCTAAGGTTGTTCAAGAATTAAAAGTTGAGATTTCCAAAAGAAAATCATCATGTGATTTGAAGGTTGAAAGAACTACAAATCAGAAACGGATGGATACCAAATGGGATCAATCTGTACTTGAGAAATCAGACATGGAGAACAGTGATATTGAAGTTTATGGTTCTCAAATGGCCGATGAAGGTGGGTATGCAAGTAGCATTGTGACAGAAGAACCACATCAAGAGGCACTGGAAATGGATCAACTAGAAGCCGAACTTCAATCTGAGCTTCTAAAACTTCATGTTTCCACTGCGGAAGTTTCATCTTCTTTTCAGGTGCTTCCTTCTTGTCAAAATACTTCTTATTCGTATAAACTGTAACGCCCCCATAACCCGAAGCAGTAGGTTGCCCCAATAACCTCCAAATAAACTTAAAACCATGATGGAAGTTATTGATACCCCACGACTTTGAGCTTATAAGGAACTCACAAATCTATTTTTCTATCCAATTTGGAACGAGTTTTTTATTACATAAAATAAATGATATCTTGTTCATGTTCTACAGAATAAAGCTTCAAGTGAGGATCTCTACAAGCCACAAGATCTTGATCAGGCATTTAACCAATGTAACGGTGTAATTCCATCTGAACTTGATCAGAAATTATGTCATCTGCTAATCGAACAGCAGGAGAGTCAAATTGTGGACTTGGAGTCGGAATTGCAATGCACGAATTCCAAGCTCTTGGAGAAAGAATCCGAGCTCCAAGCATTGAAGGATTGTGTTAAACGCCTCACTGACTTTTCTCTAACATGTCCCTCAGGTACACAACTCCATTCTTCATTTACAGTCAGTTACTTGCATACGATTTCTGGAAAAAGGTGGTACACTTTGATCTTTGGGGTCAAACCACCCCTTTTCGGCACTTCTCATAAGTGGTCAGTTCCAAGTCTCCCGAGGGTCCCATGACATTAGTTGGGTGCATGCAAGCTGACCCACACAACCATGGTTACCAAAAACTACAAATAAATATTTGACTTGCCATATAGCTTGAGGAATTTCCAAACATACCCTTGGTGTTTCTTCCTGGTGTATTTAGGCTTAGGGCATGTTTGGTAGCAACTTAATGGGACTCACAGCTTATTCGGTTAGCTATAGATGACTTTTTGGTAGTGGCTTAGTGATGTAAAAAGTGGGTTATTTAGTAAGCTTTTAAAAAGGGAGTGTTATGCAAAAAGTCAAGTCTTTTCCAAACCCGCCCCTCCCAATTAAAAGAAACACTCATTCCATCTATAAAAAGACCTTCCCAAACAAAAAAACCTTCCCAATCTATACAGACATATTAATACACAGAGAAAACTTTATCTATACATAACTTAATGGAAAACCAACCAAACAACCCCTAAGTTATTTTCCAGAGTTGAAATGGCTTAATGGGCAATTGTACAACATAAGTTGTATGAAATACAAGTAACTAAAACATTATGTTCTGGATTTACAAATATTTACGGGATGGTTTTTCTGAAACGATAACTTTATATTTTCAGATGAAGAAAAAGAAGGCCAGGTTGAGGAGGTTCATGGTAGGACGATAGATGGAAATGGAAAACCAGCAGTTGGCACCAAAAGAGCAATCGACTTTGATTGAAATGTGATTCTTTCTGGATATAGCAACATATATTATACACGGTAAACTGTACATTTTTCTATATTTGGAAAGTTAACTCTTGATCGTTTGTTGGTAGATTAAATTAACTTTGTCTGTAACGAACTTTCTTGTTTCTTATGGTTACAAATTATTTTGTAACTCAACGGACGTTTTCTTTTTGCAGTTGGGTGATATTGTTAAATAGGCCGATTAACTGCCAAGATCGGTGTATATATATGGTCTAATGGTAACAATTTACGATTCAATATGGAGTTTGATCGACGTTTGTAGATATGCACAAAATGATCGGAGTTGACATTGTTTGTAATTGAATAGAGTAAGAGAACAATTTTCGAAAAATAGAAAATTTAAAATATATAACCTTTGAAAAAGACTCGTTTTCTATTGCACGTGTTTGATCACGACTAAAATCCCGTTTGTTAGGAGCTTAATGAGACTCAATTTATTCATTCAGTTATACATGATTGTAGCTTAATGATATGTAAAGTGGCTTATTCAGTAAGCTTTTAAGAATGTTTTATGTAGTCATTCAAACTTGTCCCTTCAAATTAAAAAAACAAAGATTTTTCCATTTTCATATATGAAAAGACTTTCAATCCATATACATGACTTAATGGAAAACCAATCATATAACCTCTAAGACCATTTTCAAACATAACACCTAAAAACATCAAATTATTGTGTTTGTTAACATCCATATGAAGTAAAATTCGAACTAAGAATTTATTAATTATTTTAAACGCATATACACTTCATAAATGAGTGGTGACTTTTATTTGATTTTGCTTTTAGCAAATGAGTAATTGAACATGCGAGATTTTATGCTTCATACCTGATGCTTTATGTTTTAATGGTGATCATGACATGTTGTTTGATACAAATACATTATTTAATCCACCACTCTTATATGATTTGCTATTACGTTGGTCTTTTGAATTTTCTCAATCCACTAAAATTTCATTCGATCAAAATTGGTCTATTCGGTTTCAGATTTTTGATACACGACTAGTTGTGTCCCATATCACCTGAACGTTAGTACGAGATATATACCGTATGAACAGGACCATGACATATCCACCTCAACATTTTCCTGTTCTTTTTCCCTACTGATTGAAGCTTCCAAACAGACAAAATAGGTTTTAACAGTACGGTTGTGGTTTTAACCTTTACCGATGGTTTAGCTATTCAACCACAACCCACAACTACAATAAATGAATTGAGTGCAAAACAATGGGATCTAAGGTGTGGTGTTGGTAGGGGTCTGGTTTATTGTGGGGCCAAAACCAAAAGACAAGTTCTTGATTGAGTGCAAGAAAAGGAAATAATTTCTGAAACCCATGTTGACCTTTTGTTTGCTTCTTGATTGGAGTGTTGGGTATGATTTGTCACCTCATAATGGGTGAAATACCTAAACTATACCACTTTAGGACATGCTTTCCAAAGGGAAATGGAGGGTAGTTTTGTAAAAACACACCAAATTGGAAAACCAACCATGTAAATGATGCTCAGGCAGTAGCTTTGTACAGAAAAATAGATACTGGAAAGGCAAATGGTGGGTACCATTTCTGGGTTTTCTAAAACATTTCCATTTCAACCCTTTTTATACATTATATTATATGATTTTGGGCTGATTGATAGTTACTGAATGATTTGATGAATAATGATTAAGAGGCTCTCGTAATATAATATAAAATGAAATATAATTGTCTGGTAATTGTTTACAATAAATTAGGGTGCTGAATGGTTAAGGGAGGCTATGGATGCAAAATTATTCGGAGGATTTTTGAACCATTAAGAGGCAGACTTTTTTTTTTTTTGCCAAACAAGATTTACCTTTTAACGATTCAGAGACTGACTCTTAATGGAATTATTAAGAGGTAAACAAACAATTTGTTTTAAATATGAAATCTTGCTAACTAGATATTTTTTGTAGAGTCAAGTAATTTTGTTTGAAAAATACAAATATAAGATTTGGGTTTGTTTGTTTGTTAAAAATTACTTCTTAATACCTCTGAAGTCTGATTTGTTCAGACGTTTGGGTATTAAAAGTGTTTGTTTTATTTCTAAAATAAGAGCTTAAAAGTTCTAAATGTCCTCTGAAATTTAAGTGGTAGACATATCTCTTAATACCTCTTAATCTTAATCCGTCCTCTATCAAATGGTTCATATGTTGAGATTGGCAAAAACTATTTATCTTTTATACTTTTGTAAAAAAACTATTTATCTTTTATATTTTTACACTAGTTTGATCGATTCAGATTTCAGACTTCAGACGTAAAAACAAACAATCTTACTAATCCAGATTTCAGACTTCAGAACCACCTCTTATAAATCAGAGGTGAAATCAAACTTCAGATTTCACACCTCTTAAAAAACAAACGTCACTTTAAAACCAAAATATTTCGAATTCATATAAAGTTACAAACAAACGAATAAATTATTTGAAAGCCTTTATAATAAGTGTTTTTTAATGTTTTATTTTTCAAACTATCTGATAAATCAGTTGATTAACTAATTACGTTTGATAGAAACCATCTGAGGTAATTAACTCGCTCATATATTCTACGACTGATTTATAATTACTTGTTTAATAAATTATTAATAAGCCTTTAATTCATTATTTCCTCGTTCAATTTTAATCCAAAAAATTATCAAATAACCTTCAAACAAATTGCAACCATACATAAAGAAGCAGACACACCACAAGTATTGTAGGTATTGTCATATCCGAGTATTTCTTGTAAAGAGCGACTCCAAACATAACCATACAACACCTTTAGTATTTTTACGTTACTATAACTTGATGTTTGTATCATATTTTAATTTTGTATTATTAAATATATATATTTTAAATAAAAACATATTTATTTACGATTAAAAAAAAGTAAACTACAAATTTAGTCCATGTGGTTTGTTAAAAGTAACACTTTTCGTTCTTACGTACTACGGTTTTAAACTTATAAAATGGTCATCGTGGTATGCAAAAAAACGTTTGGATTTGATATCTCCTTATAACGACTGTTAAAAAATTCTGCTAAATGAGAGACATTTTCATCATTTTATCAATCTTTTTGTCTTTTACTTAATCAAAAACCACATAAACCAAAATATAAAATCGATGTTGATTGAGTAGAAAAAATCGATTAACGGACGAAAATGCCTCTAATTTAACAGAACTTTTTAAAAGGGGCCAAATTTGGACGTTTTCACATACAATGATAGTCATTTTGTAATTTTCAAACTATAAGACAAAAAAATGTTATTTTTGACAAAACCATAGGGAGTTAGGGACCAAATTGCTGTTTACTCAATTGAAAAATAAATAATACGTGAAAAACATAAAAATAAGTAGACTTCGGATTACGTGAGATCAACATGTTTTCGTGAGACCCGTAAGACCACTTTTTTACATTTGAAACTTCACAACAAGTAAACTTCACAGTGTTTTTGCTGTGAAAGTTCGTTTTTTTTACCTTCACGTTGTTTTACTGTGAAGTTTCAAGTGTAAAAAAATGGTCTCATGAAAACATGCTGATCGTGAACTTAACCAGAAATAGATAATCAGTAATTGTTAAATTGAAAGATATAAATGAATGGAAGAAATAATAAAATATAAATTATTCTTGACACCCAAATGACAAAATGTGTTGCCTTTTTATGTAAAGTTGTCTGATTTAAACCCATCCGTGCCAATTCAAATAAATAATAAAAGAAATTTTGTTTTTATGTTAGTTTTTTATAAGTTTTTAAGATCCATGAAATTTATAAATTGAAAAATGCATTTGTATTTATTTTATTTTTTTAACTTTTATTGTTAAAAAGTTTTAAATTTTTTTATTAAAAGAACTCGTATTTAAAAAAATTGACTTAAATGATCATTTCGCATATCCAAATTGGTTTTTTAACCAATTCTTTTCCGAGTTTACCCAAATGTCACTACTTTTGCAATATTCATGTCCGCAATATTGTGGACCTAGCTAAAAGACAAATTAATGTTAATGATTTTTTTATAAGCATAAGTTGTTATCTCAAATAAATTCAAACATAACATTTATGGTTTTATTTCTCTTCATATATAAATCAAATGGCAGATGGGTTTTATACGATTTTATTTATGATTTGTTAAAAATGGACGATTAAAGTAATTAAAATATAGATAGACATTTAATCTATAGCTATACTATATTATAAAGCATTTGACAAAAAAAAAAAAAAAACATTCTTTATGCATAAATAATGTTTATTAATGTATATTACTTAAAATTCAAGATTACAAGTAATTTTGTGTAAGTACAACTTATTGAAGCTCAATTTTTAAATTCGTGTAATTAACTACTAAACACAATCAAATACATGATAAACCTTCATTTTAAATATAGAAAATCTAAAATATACTTAAGATAATTATTGAGTTCTAACAGAGTATTTAATTATTATCTTTATTAAAAAATTGTATTATTGAACCAAAAATAAGTTACTTTGTTATTAAATTTAAATAAAGAAGTTACACCAAAAAAACGAGAACTATTAAATAGTTAATTTGATAATAATATCGATATGTTTATTTTTAAAATTTTGTGATATCTTCAAATTTATATTTTATAAAAAAATAAACAATATCCATTTCTCAAAGCCACATAAAAAAACATATTATAACATCTACAAAGACGGAATAAAACGAAATATTAAAATCGAGATATGTTTCACTATATTGCGTGAATACCCTTCTAATATGTAAAAAATAGCGATTTACTGTATACTTGTAATTTAATTATGTAAAAGACCACTAAAAGTTGCTTAAAATTGTTTACTCCTTAACAAATTTATTTTATGTTTTAAAAAACAACTTGTTTTATATTAGTTTAATAATACATATTTACTAATAAAAATTATATAAAATAGGTGTTTGAAAATAATAAATTACAATTATATCTAGCAAGTGTGTTTGACACACATGACAAGATATTGTATAAGAAAAAAAAATTGTTACAAATTTAAATTCGTATTTTTTTTAATTATCCATGTCAGTTTATGCATACCTTAACTAATAGCAGGGGTCCCAAAGAACAGACAGGAAAATCCTCAATGATCCTTTGGAACTCGAACCGGTGACTCTTGAGAAGGATCTCTGAAGACCCATGTATATAGTTTATAAGGAGGAATAAAAATTCTCTTGTGGTCACGGAGTTTCAAATGCGATAACTCTGGGCTATCTGCAAAGCAGATGGTTGTCCTGGAATTAGTCGGCTCGCATAGCGGATTGGATATCCAGGTTAATTGAAAAAAAACATGTTTGTGCAATAGGAGGTTATGTGAGTGAGCTTTGAGAAGGGTGTTAATAGCAACCCTTTGCTTAGAATTAATTTGTAAACTTTAAACGTGTAATAAAATTAGAGTATATTTATACAGTATTTTTATTGCATTATACGAGATTAATACATAAGTATAACTTAGTAATACATATAGGTTTTGTAAAACTACTTCATAAATAATTAATAAACATGTTCAAATACATGATAAAACATTGAGTTCTAGTAATACAATAAAATAGTCAATACATAACACAATACATTTCTAGTACATTATAAATGTAATATATTGTTACAATATATATTACAAAATATATATAATATACTATACATTTAATTTAAACTCCAAATGATGCAACAAATCCAGTCAAAACGGCATATATCAAGGTAAATCCGTATTCCAGAGCAATAACCACTATACAAAGCACCATCGCTTAAACAAATTGTACAACACGCATTAAGACTTGTATTTCATCTATTTTATTTGAGTTACATCCTTGGTATAAGCATGAGCCTATATTAACTCCCATCAAAGCGTTATCTTCGCTTCAAGAACCTCCATTGATGAAGCTTCAGAGAGAAACCAAATTAGAGCTCCATAGCCAAATTCAACAAGCACACACAGTCTATGTGTTCTTGTTTGACTCCAACACATTCTCACATAGTGTTTGTGTGTGTTCTTGTTTGTCTGCAATACATACATAGTGTTTATGTGTGTATGAATTTTTGGTCTTCTTTTTGGGAAAAAAGTGAGGTTTTTTTTGGAGCTGTGATACGTTTGAAGAACAGAAATGAAGAGATCAACGAGACCCATATCGAGTCCAGGAAGAACAGAGAAGTTTCCACCGCCATTGATGAGGTTTCTAAGAAGCAACGTGGGAAGCAAGAGCAGCAGCAGAGGAAGAAGATCACGTGCCAGCCCTATGTTCATTAAGAAGAAAAATACAGTTATCGAGACAACTCAAGAACCATCTTCCCCTAAAGTCACGTGCATCGGCCAAGTCCGTGTCAGACGCTCCAAGAAAAACAAGACCACCACCACCACATCCATCACCAGAACCACCATCCGCCACCCAAGTAACCGCCTTTGCGGATGCCTAAGAAAACTCAAACCCAAATGGTGCCGTAGCGTTTTGCGCAAATGGGTCTCGTTTTTCCGATGTGGGTACTGCAAAAACTCAAGAGATTTACATGATTCACCACCGGTGACTCCGAGAAGTTTGTACCAGAACGCCGCCGGCGACAATGGCGAAGAAGACGAACACGTGACTGTAGAAGCTGATAATCGGGGTTTGATTTCACGACCACCGCCGCGAAATGCGTTTTTGCTAACAAGATGCAGATCTGCTCCGTACAGATCTTCTTCCTTAGCAAGTAAATTTTGGGAATCAACAATGGAGAAAACAGAAGAGGAAGAAGTTGCAGAAAAGATTAAAAAATTGAGTATTAAAGAAGAAGAAGAAGCAGCAGAAGAAGAAATTGCGAATGATAATGGAGTAAATGAAAGTAAATGTAATGAATGCAATGGAGTTGAAGAATTGAAGAACATTAAAGTAACGCCATTGATTCTGACCAGGTGTAAATCAGAACCTGCAAGAACATGGGATCAGATTATTGTATGAGTTTGACTTTTGTTTGATTTTTACCCAATTAACTGTGATTAATCACTCAATTTTTTGTTTTTGTTTTTACTTTTACTTTTACTTTGCCTTTTGTTCTAATAATGTTTCATTTTAGTTTTTATTTATTGATATATCTTTGTATTTTACTGATTATAGAAATATATACATTTTAGTACAAAAATAAGTCATACCACATCTATTTTTTTTTTTATCGGGACCAGTTTGTACGTACCTTGACTAAACATAAAACCTTGAAAAATAGACAATTAAATCCTCAGTGGCTTTATACGACTCAAACTGTGGACCTTAGAGGATAATTCGTAGACTCAAATCTTATTATTAGTTGAGCTATCGCTACAATGTTACAACATTTATATTATGTTTTGTTGCTGTAAATATTACAAAAGAAAAGAAAAACATCTATCGATTTCCTCTTGTGGTTGCAATTTGCCGACATGATATGGAGAAAGAGACTAGTCTATGAACACGAACTAAAAATGTTCGGATAACGCTGATTGAGGTATAAAAAAAGCAATAAATCTTAGGGACTGTTTGGTAATTGTTGAATGGTTTTGTGTATAATGATTAAATGGTCAAAATGATTAAGAGTCACTCATGATATAGTACAAAATGAAATATAATTGTTTGTTAATTGTTTACAATGGAATTAGGGTGCTGAATGTTTAAAGGAGACCCATGATACAAAATCATTCAGAGGGTTTTAAAAATCATTAAAAGACAAATTTTTTTTTGCCAAACAAGATTTAGCTTTTAACGATTTAAAAACTGTCTCTTAATGAAACTATTAAAGGTAAACAAACAACCCCTTACTTCTTTATAAGTTAGCATCATGGCCAACATATTTATTAGTCATGGTGTGTTTAACATTCCTGTTTGCTATTGCTCAACAAAAAAAAAGCGATCCAAAAATATTAAACTACCCTTATCTACCTTATAAATACATTCAACTTCAATAGATTTTCTATTTTAAAGATTAATTAACATTTATTATATTAATAAATAAAATATTCATACATCTAATAAAATATTTTTTCCCTAAACATTTAATTTAAAGAATTCTTATTGGTGCAATATAATTAAAAATTAATTTGTGCTCAAGGTAATATTTTTTGGAAGTTTCCAAATTTTGAGAATCTCACACCCCTCTCCCAATTTTCCCATTTTGAAGAAAGTTTAAACAATAATTTGCATAAAAGTATGCTGAAAGTCGTCTGATTCAGTTCAAACCGATCGACTTACCATAAATGAACTTCCAATTAAATTCGATCCAATTTTTCAACAACCAAATTGATTCGGTTTGTTCTTGGATGATTGTCCATAATTCAATAAAACCAATGTTTTGGTAAAGCTGATCCAATCTGACGATCATTCAAATATCATCCAATTAATAACTATATATAATTATTAAAATTTTACTATATTATTTTTTAGTTGATATATATACATAATGGTTTTTAGTAAATCAAAAAAAAATATAAATAGTTAGTTGAAACAGTTAATTAATTAGTTGAAAAATTGTATCAAAATATTAGAAGGATCCAATCCGATACAATAGATAACCAATATTAACATCTAGTGGATAAAACCAATTAGATCCAATCATCATTGAATTGGTTGGATCGAATGTCTAATGTTAATTGGATAACAAAATTCAATATCCATTTGATGATTGAATCGGATCGAATTCACTTAAATCTATTATATTTCAATCGGCGAATAATAGAGAAAAAAGTAGTCCAAATTTCCCATTTTCATAAAAAAAAAATGTAAAAGAAGCGTTTAATAACTATTTGTTGTAAGAACATATGGTGGATTTAAAAAAAATCGTAATTTTTTCTTGTAGTTTTTATTTCCGATAAATAATAAAGAAAAAAATTGTTTTATATGAGAGAATAAACACAAAGGAAAAGTTGACGTCAGATTCAAACACGTGTGAGATCAAGAAAATTTGACTAAAAAATAGATAATGGGAAATTTAAACCTAGAAAAGGACGAGGGAATCTTTGGGCTTATTTTTGATTTATATGATTTCCACCATTAAATTAATTAAATTATTTTAAATTTCGGTATATAATAATTAAATTATTTCCTAATCTATCTTACTAAAGAGTGTAAACGGTACGAGACAATTTACAAATTATTCAACATCGATTCGATTAAAGCTCGGTCAATACTTGACTGGAATAGGCAAGACTCAAACTTGATCTTGACTCGACATATGAGCAAGACAAGTCGAGCTATCCAATACTCGAATCGAAAAGCTCCTGAGATACTCGATTTTTTATGTATAATTATTATTTAAAATATAATAAGTTTTATAATATAATATAATAAAAATGTCTTTATATTCTTAGATATTTGAACAAAATTGTGCATTTTTTTTAACTATAAAAATTAATCAATTATTTCTTTATTGAAATCATAATTAAAAGAAGACAAACAAAAAACTATATAAATATTGGTGAAATTGTCCCACAGGGGAAAAAAAAATGGTAAAAGGAAATGTGAAGGGTATTATAAAAAGAGAGAGATGTGAATGAAGTTTGTAACTTGTTTTTTTGATGATGAAGTTTGAGGTGTATCTTTTTAGTTTATAAAATTTAAGATAACACCCTTAAGTTTCATGATTATAAAAGAAGACCTTAAAATTTCATAAACTTCAATTGGTGAGTTCGGTTCGAGTTTGAATCGAGATTTAGAAGAGTTCGAGCTTTAGTTTGAGTTTAAGAAATTGCAATCGAGTCCAAGTCAAGTTTAGTTTTTAACTGGGTAAGAGTCGTAATCTTCACTTACCGAGTAATACTCTCCATCCTTCTCACTACTCTTACCCAGTAAGATTCTTGACCCTTGTCATGTTCATCTGATAAGAAAATTTATTCGGTAAGCACTTGCCAATAAACGTTTAGTAAACGGCCCCTAAAACAACAAAGCTAAATATAAACTTTTTCCGTTGTGAATAACACCAATTGAACCGTGTGAACACCCGATGGAGAAGTTTTATAAGGTTGTGTATATTGTCTTCACGATTTGTGTGCATGTGTATAGGTGTATGCTGAGAGTAAGATATTTATGGAATTTGAATTTCATAAAAACAATATATTAAATAACATTAATTATTTTTAATTGGTGCTTAGAATGAATCTTACAAGTCTTAAATATTTCTGAAGTTCTCAAATATTAAGTCATGAGTATATATTGTAGATATATAGAAACCGAGATACATGTGTATATACTATTTTGAAATGCATGAAAAGTTTTCATGTATTTTTGGGTCGGTAAAAATGGCGGGAAACCGCAATGATGTTTTGACCGATGTATGTTGCAAAGTACCTCTGTACCATGTCGATAGATGTTATTCAATACATGTATTGCGAGGTATACCGTTGTACTCGGAGATTCAACGTTATTGATGATGTTTCGATCGGTATATGTTGTGAAGTACCTCTGTATTGAGTCGATTGATTGAGATAGTACATGTATCGCGAGGTACACCTCTGTACGTAGAGAATTGATGTTTCCGACGATGTTGACCCACACAATATTCAATGATTTGATATGTCAAGATGATTTATTTGCATGCATTATTTTGACGATGATATTTTCTCAATGCTTACATTATGTATCTTGAAAGATTTGATATCTCAAGTTTTTTTTTATGTAAACCATGAACTCACTAAGCGTAAAGCTAACCCAAACATGCATCTCAGGTTTCGATAAGGCTGAGAACTCGAAAGGAAAGTAGAAGATGTAGCCGATGTTTAGATTTATTCATTAGATATTAAGTTTCTTATTTAGTACTTTGGTATCGATGTAAAGACTTCCACTGCTAGATTTTCGATTTTAAGTTACCTCTCGATTAAGGTAGATTTTGATTGTTAAGCCGTCACAACCCCTGAATTTTGGGGTGTGACATGTTACGTAATTCATTTGTTCGTCAGACATAAGATTAACCAACTTTGCCATTAAAAAGTAAGGGGCTGTTTGTTTGCTTTCTTCTATTAGTTGTGTACATGCACAATGATACGAGATGTAAAATTTCTTAGAAACAACGAATTTAGAATTTAACGAGTTTGTTCAAAAGAAAAACATCCAAAATTCATTTTTGAATAAAATATTCTCTCTCACTGAACGGAGAACTACGTATCTAAGAGCAATTTAATTATTTTATTTATTCATTTCAAAATACAAAATAAAACCAACCATTACTTATTAAGGTGAATCGTGTGAAAATAAGAGTTAAAGTGAAAAGCGTAAGAAGTGATTTAGATATTTGATCACTTGAACTAGCGTTGATGTAATGATTCAGATTAAGTCTCAAAATAAAACATTCAACAACTACCAAACAACCCCTTAATAGATTTTCCATCTAGGAACGGTGGTCCAAACTCCAAACTTTTGAAAATGTTTTAGGTGGTCCAAACGCTAGTAGGACCTCAGCTGCCATTTGTGTGCCCACGATGAAACATATGATTTACGATTTTAGGGGCCCGCTATTAAAAGCCTGTAATTCTTTATTCTATTAAATTTAAATATCGAATTTTAAATCACATAATATAAACGTTATTATTAAATATTTTTATTAGAATTTGAAAAAAAAAATATTTAAAATTATCATATAAAATAACCACATTTAGCATATTGTGTTAAAATAATTTTTATAAATAGATAATATATCCCTGTATGCATAATATACAAGTTAATATATCAAATTTAAAATTCGAATATAAAAACGTTATTATTAAATATTTTTATTAGAATTTGAAAAAAAAAATATTTAAAATTATCATATAAAATAANTAACCGGTTACGGTTTTCATCCAAAAACAAGGCCCGACCAAGCTAAAGCTGGGACCAGTTATACATAGGCCCATTTGTTGTTAAAATAATTTTTATAAATAGATAATATATCCCTGTATGCATAATATACAAGTTAATATAACACATAAAAACATTACACATTACATTTAAAAGTATATAAT